ATCTGTAGTGAGTTTAAACCAAATTTAACTGAGAGTCGTGAAAAAAAAAACGATAGCATTTCGAATTTAAATCGGAAATTTGTTGAAAATGGCTCTTAAAACAAAATGGAAACTCCTGATAAATAGAGCAGAAAAATTTCAATTTACTTCATTTTCCCCCCACAGTTTAAAGGTAAAAAGTAATCAAATGTAAAGAACAAGAAAAAGATTAAAATTTGACAAATGGATCGCGTATGCGTTGTGTAAATGAGGTGATTCAGCTAACTCGAAAGAGCGAATCACGTGATTCCCTTGTAATGAAATATGCCGATTTATTCTAAACAACCATTGGCATGTTCCACTAAGTACAACTTCGATAGTGGATGGTTTCTATCGATACCAAGCGGGAGTATATGAGAGCAATACTTTGAGATACCTCAGTAATGCAATACTAGATGCTTTGAGAGAGGAGAGAGATTTTACAGTAATGAATTACATTTAATAAAGTATTTCAAGTATATGAATTTTAACTAATTGAACTTGTGATTTAAATCTCCTTGGCGAAGGTCTCGAGCAAGCTCTGTTAGCTTGTAAAGTAGTTTTATTAGAAAGAAAAATAATTTACTCTTTCCCTTAAAGTGTATATCTGAACGAAATTTTTTGCTCATTCATTAGTTAGAGAACAATGAGGACACAAGTGACAATTCACATACCACAGCTTTGATTCTAATTAACTTACTAACGTACTGCTTAGTTGAGTACAGGGAAACATGAGTAAGAGTAAACTGTTTAGGTTAGGTTAAGTTGAAGTGGCGGACCCATCGGATCTAACAGGCATCACTGTACCACCCAAGAAAAGCACACACCTGTATTTAATGGCAATCAAAAAGCTTGAGAAATTACACTTGGTTGGATCTATGAAAATTTCATGCAAGGTATTCTAAGTAAAATTCGAAATAATAATTTCAATTCGCAATCGATTATATTGCAAAGTACTGCTTAATTGACGCACGAAGTGTCAATAGTACAAACATATAATATTTATATTCCAACAACTGTAGCTTATATTGTTGTGTAATTATTCTATATTTTGCGGTTGTTGTATTGTGTAAAAGTCAGCTAAAGTGCTAAGTCCAAAGCTCAAAAGATTGCGGGTCGCGATAAAAATTACAAAAAATATGTATTTTTCAACAAAAATAATTGTAAGTAACTTGCAGGGCATGAAAAAAATTTGTATGCATATGTATGTAGTAAAAATATATTAAATAAAAAAACGTTTATTTGCATTTTTGTTGCATACGGATAAATGCAAACTTAATTAATGGACAGGCATTTATTCGAGAAAAGTATCAAAGGTTCGAAGTGATTTAAAAGCTGCGTTCCATACTGATCAAGCGGCTAGAATTAGTTACTCATGGCTTTTATTAAAAGCAAAAAAAAAATTATATTGCATGTATGTATACATACATATATACTAAGTACGTCTGAGTCATAGAAATTGCTGTGCTATGTGCGGAATGTAATTATTTTTTTCTTTACTTCAATGCAATTCATTTGTTTTACTTTTAAAGGAATAATATTTTTTTTAACCTGTTGGGCCTTTTCAATTAATCACTGAACTGGATATATTTATTTCATGCGTAGCATTTTTATAACTTCGAAGGTATTAGGTAATTTTGTAGCTGTGTGTGTTTAAGTAAACAGAAGGCGTGTTCTGAACTTCGCTCGCTATGAAAGTGGTATTTGTAGGTGTGTACGGGACTTTTCGGTAATTACAGGCAAGAATTGGTGTATGCAAAGAGTTTGGCAGCAAAATTGTATGTAAATAACTTTGTTATAGTTCACGGCATAGATGGTAGTTAAAATCATATGTAGAAGACTCCAATTTTTCAATTGTTGATCAAAAAACACATGTGAAAAAAAACTAAAGATATTTTTGTGTCTCGAAAGAAAGACAAATAATACCGAAGTTATATACCTTTCATGACCATATAAAATTTATCGTATTTTATATTAGGATTAAATATTGATTAGCTAATAGTTATAGGCATCCAATCTTGATTAGTTGTATATCCATACGTGTGTAGAATGTAAAATTTTATGTTTTAAGATGGTTTTTTGATGAATTTTTGAACAAACAGAAATCCTAAGCTAGCATACCCAGCAATCCCAACTACGCGAGTCACATTTGCTTTTTTCTATAAAACAGATGGTATTATTGACATAGTGAAGGCAATAAGATATTAAAATTAGCAGTTTTGGAAACATACTAGTCCTATTACTAGTTCGAAAGGCAAAATAAAATGTAATAGATTTTCGAGCCAAAAACCAGTGTTTTGTTAGCAGAGACTGCAGGAAATATTAAAAGTGGTCAACAGTTTTTTGTTCGATTTCACCTCATTATTTCCTGGAAAGGCCAGAAGAAACTTGAATTCGTAACAATAAAAAAGAAAAAAAAAGTAACAAATTTATCGAGCTTAGACACAAATTAATTGCTTACTAATAGGTGCTTTTCAGTCTAGTGAGATTATTATTTATTATGAGGAACTCTTCCTCATCTCTTCATATTTTTAGTAAGCTTTAAATAAAAGGAAATGTATGACACTAAAAAAGACAGTTTTCAACACTTATCTGCAGTTTTATATTTTTTTATACTATGGATCTTTTATATGTACATATTAAATACACATATATATGTGTTTGTATGCACATCTATAACGGAATTTTTTGTGATTATCTCCTTAGCGAATTGACATCGCTGACTTAAACTTTATCGCTTATTTTTTCACCACTATTTATAACATAAAACAAAACAACAATTTATTGAATATTATTTATTTTAGATTTCCTTTTCTTTTAACTCGTGCATATTTGCATGCGATTAAATGTATAATTCTTTTTAATTAGAAAAAATAAATAAATCTGTAATAAATCTTTATTGAATCCTACGTAAAGAAATTGAAATGAGGTGATTAAATAAAATGATAGTTAATAACTAACACACACATATATATTATACATTTAAATAAGAACTTATTGAAGTATTTACATCTACTGTAGTTGTTAGCTGCACAGGAAAGGTTATTTCGAGGTTATACCCGCTGGCAAGCAGAAATCGAGTGATTAGCTATGCGTACTACCATTCAGAAAACCAGGACTCTAGTCTGACCTACACTTCATTTATAGAAATTTCAGATTTTTATAACGCGAAAATGGCAGCGTATAAAAATGTATTATACTTATTTTAACTTTAGCATTTATCTATGGTAATTTTTCGTTATGTATTATATTGTCTTTTCTTATATTTAGCTAGGCAAGCTTCAAGATGTGAACTTCAAAGCCGAAAATAATTAATTTTGAGATATTCGAATAGTAAAAAGTTATCTAAAATACATTTGGCTTTTACTGGAAAATATTTTATAAAACAAATTGAAAGTTCCACCACTCGGTTACATTAAACGGGGAATTGAGAACTTTGTGCGTCTAGTATTTATTCTAGTTTTAAGTGTAAAAGAGCGAAATTTCACATTCCTATACAAAAGTTAACATAAATAACTAAACAAAAAAGTAAATATCTAATAATCTCATTGGACTGTCATCAACTGATATAAGAGAAATCAGTGAGATTTTGCTTCAAAACCGATTAAACTACCAAACTGATGGACGGCGATAGCGATAAATGCAAAATGAAAATATGAGAAAAAAGTAATATCAATAAATATTGACACGAACTAATCATTTAATTAAATAATTTCCTATGTATGTACATATTGAAATTCTCAAACCTATGGAAAATTGATAAAATAAATATATGTATGTATGTCAAAGTGAACTTGGAAGAAAGACAAGAAAAACAAATAATTAAGCAAATACTACTGAGGGAAGAGTCACAAAAAGAAGCAAAAGAAAAAAATAAAATAAGATAAAAAATATATAAAATAAACTAAAATAAAATAAAATAAATAATAAAATTTAGAATAAATAAAATAAAATATAGTAATGTAAAATAAAATAATAAAAATTAAAATAAAATGAAATAAAATCTACAAAAAAATTAAATTAAATAAACCAGAGTTAAATAAAATCAAATAAAAAAATAAAATAAAAACAAAATAAATCCAATAAAATATAGTTAAATATAATAAAACAAAATAAATAAAATAAAATAAAATAAATAATAAAAATTAGAATAAATAAAATCAAATACGGTAATATAAAATAAAATAATGTAAATTAAAATAAAATGAAATAAAATAAACAAATAAATTAAATTAAATAAACTAGAGTAAAATAAAATAAACTAAATAAAATAAAATAAAATAAAATAAAATAAAAATATAAGGATAAAGCAAAATTAAATTAAATGAAATAAAAAAAAATAAAATAAAAACAAAATAAATCAAATAAAATAAAGTAAACTAAAATAAGACAAAATAAATAAAACAAAGAACTTTAATAAAAAAATTTTAATACAATAAAATAAAATACAATAAATCAATAAAGAAAAATCAAATTAAGAACATATATGGTCTTAAAGAGTTCCATAACACCAGAACTTAATAAGAAAAATTTAATAAAATAAAAATATAAGAACTCTTAAAAAGAGGATTAGTGCTTAAAGAACGTAAAAATTTAATTGAAAAATAATGTGCACTAATAATCAAAATACGAGTAAAATTCGCGGGAATATCAGCAACTGCTCCAGTGCCAATTAGAAGGAATACATGTATTTTCTAAGCAAAAGCTAAATAAATAAATAACCAGTAAATTCAACAGCTGCAACTAAATATGACTTTGGTGAAACGTGAAATTGTAGTTATGTACATATACAGTCGTAATATATTAACAATAAGCCCTTGTGGAACTAAGATATCGAGAAATCATTATTAACGAAATTGCCTCACAAAATTGGCTAATATTAAAGGAACTTTTTTGTTTTGTTTTCTGTGATATGTATGTATATGTAGCATGTACGATATGCCTATGCAATTAATTAAATGAGTTCTTATATTGTTACTTACTGTTCCGATTGCCCTCTTTAACGCGATATGTCAACTCATGGAAAGCCAAATCCACTGCCGGTCGTTTCGGCAAATGCTGCAGTGTTTTCGGTTGGGCTGGGGAAAATTGTGTCTTGAGAATGCTTACGGGCACGGCAACACTGCTCGGCGCTGCCACACCACCGCTGCTGCTTTGTGGACCACTGCTACCACCAGCTGGCACAATGACCGCACCACCGCCACCACCATGCCTATTATCGTTTAGAAGATTTTTATTGACACTATCTTGTTCAACCATTTTGTTGATATTTATTTATTTCGGTATTTTTATTTTATTTTTTTACTTCAACTCGTTCAATACAAAGTTTGGTGTAAAGGAATATTTTTTGTATGAAAATTGTAACGAAAAATCACGAAAACATTAAAACGCGTAAGAATTCTTCAGTGAATTTCTATAAAAATTTGAAGCGTATTTCCAACGCTGAACGCTTGCTAGACAACGATTAACAGACAGGTTCTAGTTTCTAGCTACTAATTTTATAAAGGCAACTGCGGGCGCACGCTGTACGTACATATATATTTTATACAAATATAGCTAAAGTCACAATCGCACATAAACAAGCTGGTTTACTAGCTTCTTAAAAGAGATCTGCTAGTTTGCTAGAGAATTTTTTACAAACATTTACTACGTCTTATATTGGACTCAATTTTTGTATTAAAAAATACGCAACGCAGTTGAAATTATTTACTGCACAAATTTCACTTCGCTTATCACTTTATTATGTATTTATGTATGTACGTATGTATGAAACTATGTATATGCCATTTGTTACATTTCTTTAGCACTTTGTGTGTATCTCATGGACCGGCAATTCCACACTCAACGCTTGTTTGTTTGTCTTTTCTACGCGTACTCAAAACTGAGTTGATTTTCAAACACTTCTTCGTATTCACCGCAATTTAAATTCGAAATGTTCCTTCCACCTTTACGGTGCGATCGCGACTAATTCGAAAATCAAATTGGACCCAGCACAGAAGGCAAGCAACAGTCGAACAAAGGCAAGCGAGCGGGCTGACAGAGGGTTACTCAGTCCGTCTGTGGGTTTCAAAGTATTCACTCAGCGAATAATCAACAGCGTATGAAAGTATAAAAGCAAATGCAGCAACAAAAGCGTTGACTTGAAAAATATTTTATAAACCATCAAAGCAAAGTCAGCAAAATTCACACACACACACACACGCCTAGCCGTATTAAGAACAACAACAACGCAGTTGTATTGTATGGAGAAACGCAACAACAATTGGGCGTTTACAGTCGGACTGTATGATGACAGCATGTCGTAGCAATTATCAGCAGCAAAGCAGGGAAATACAGCACAAAAGGCAATAAAGTAATAAAACAAAAAACACTAAAAGCAAACAAAAAAACAAAAAAGGAAAAATTAAATAAATAAATAGAAAAATTTGAATTTCTGTATTTGAAAGTCTCTCGAAAAACTGCCTGCGCTCTCACAGTGGCTCTCACCGAAAACAGACAAGCGCACACATGTGCTATTGTTGCTACGAAAGGGGTGTTTGGTTTCTATACAATTTCCGTATGAATTTCAACGCTTGGAGCTCGTTCGTGCATAGAGTATGTAGGAATTGTATTTTGAGTGGAGTCTCACAAGCAAACCGAAATCAAAAATAACATCAGAGCGCACACAATACCAATAGCAACAGATATAGGGTTTTCTAATAAGAGTGATATGATTTCTTTAACAAACAAAAACACACAAAATTATTAAGCAAATTTAAATTTTTTTTATTAAATGTGATACAATTAAGTTCTGAAATGGTCTCCCCGACTTCTCTTCCAATATTGACTTTTAAAGCTTGAAGAGAGTCTAGTTCATTACTAAAGTTCAATGACATCAAATAACAATTTCTTGAAATAATCGAATCTCTAAACCTTTCTCGCAATAATTCGGTTGCGGCACTTGCTGTGTGACACGTAGCTCCGTCTTGTTGGAACCAGATATTGCTAAAACAAACTTTTTCCAATTGTGACCATCAAAATTGGTTATCATCAAACTATACCGCTCTCCATTGACAGTTACGGTGCTACCGGCTTTATTTTGAAAGAAGTACGGACCGGTGACTCTACCAGACAAAAAATACAAATCAAGACATATTAAAAATAGCGAAAACAACATTTAGAAATCATATAATTCCTTTTGGAAAACCCTTTATAGCACTCTTTTGTACTCGCCAGTTGTGTATTCTAAATTGTTTTTTCAAACATTTCTTTCTCTTTGGCAACTCTAGTCGGCCTGAGTGCATCTTCTTTGCATGCGAGCATCGTGTGCTTTTCGCCCTTTCTCATGCCTTGTTGCATTTCGCTTTCTTTACTCTTTTATTTCCTCTTTGTTTTTTGTTGTATGTATCTCATTTCGAATTTTGTTTTCTTTCCTTCTTTTTTTTAAATCATTTTTTTTTTATGTTTTTACATGAATGCACACAGTTTGTTGCTCTCTGTTTGCGTGTTAGCCCCAGTGCCCTTTGTTGTTGGCTCGGTATGTTTTTGATTTCAATTTTGAGAAGCTGCAGGAGAGTTTCTGTTTTATATGGCTGAGTGGATAGTACTTATGGAGTAGATAAATCGTACACACATACATACATACATATACACATATGCTGTTGCTAAGAAAGTCTGAATGCATAAAAAGGATGCAGGAAATATTTCAGAATTTAGTTTCGTCATTGACCGGGCGGCAGATTAACAACAAAAAATCTTCAGTAGGCCATTGAAAAACGAAGTGCTTTAGATGTATAAATACTAAACTCGTTTAACTTCTGTTAAGTCGGAATCAGAAGTTTTCAATAGAAAGATTTTTGAAAAGTTGTATGCCTCCCTGCCCAAAGGTTGTAGCCAAAGCGGAGTGAAGGAGCATAAGCTGTCGGACCTATTTCGGAGCAGAGGGAAATGAGAGTTCTTTGCCTCGGAATTGACCCGGATTTTTTATGATCAAGAGCTCGTTTCGGTGATTAACCTCTTTCACGGCATCACATATTACTAGTCTTGGGTCATTGGTCTTCTCTTGCAGCATGTATCGTAATATACTTCTGATATGGAGCAGGTTATGGAAGAATGAAGGATCTTCTAGCACTCAATGAGTTACATATATTGCTTCTGATAGGGAATCTGATTGTCAAATGCTCGTTTGGTTAGATTGGAAATACATGAGTTTTCATGTGAAAACATCGCACTCCTTCACTACGACCATTTACTACCTAAGTGAGCTACGTAGTATTAAAGAATGTAATCTTCGTGTATTTGGGGTCGTTAATGCATTTATAAGATGTAACATTTTTCAAAATTTCTTGTATAATAAAGTCGGTTCAGTCTCACAAGCTGCCCAGAGCGTCTCGTAAAATTTAAGTAGCAAAAGGTTGCACCGGGAAAGAAATCCACTTTTGTACTTTTCTAAATTTAAAACCGAACTCAAAATTTATGGATTTCCAAGAAATTGATGTCAAGGAAATTCAATGAGTTCAAAAACTACTACGAAGAAACTACTTTGTACTTTATATAAAAGTCCGCTATACAGACTAAGTATCTCTCTTATTCGAGTAGAGAGCCAGGAGATGAATGCTGCCAATGGGACCATTTATGTTAGAAGTTTCTAAATTTTCTGATAATGGACTTAGCCATTTAGCCTGACGGGCATATGTAAATATATACTGAAATTCTAGAGTATTTACACATCAGAATCAGACCGATATTTGACCACCATAGAAGTGCTCAAAAGTGCATAAAGAGAATATAAAAAGGATAGTTGATTCAAGTATACACATACATACAAATTGATAATTCATATATTTTACGTTTCCTTCGACCCGCCAAGCAATTGTATTCCGTTTCTTTGCCATTTCGCCTGAACAACAAAAAAATTTTATGCAACTTTTAGTAAATACATCTTAAATTAAAAGTATTTTGCCACTGCAATTATTAATTCTCGCGTGCGATTTTCAATTTACAAAAAGAGGAAATCAGCTTAATTAAAAGAAATTAACAAGTTAGGAAGATAGCTGGACAAAACTTTGTTGTTTTCATATGTCTCTATGTATAAATATATATAGTTTAAGCATTAACATCTAACATACATAATACTCAGTTCTTTTTGCTTCATATACATATGTATTAGTAAAAGAAAAGCTTTACACCTAAACATTATTACTTTTCCTGCATTAGTTGTGATCCTGACCTATAACCACATAGTCATATATGAGTATGTATATGTATATGTATGAATGCCATAGTAGTGGGTGAAAAATTATGAAATCAGTAAACATATGCTATTGAATCCACACACTTATATACTCGTATGTATGTATTGTATTATGCGCGTGCTTGTTATCCACTAAAACCGTTGCCAGCTCTGTAATTATTTCATTGTCCGCTTAACCTCGGCATATATACATAAGCACCACTATTCATGCAAAGGGTGATTTATAATATGTTGATAAAAGCATTATTCAGTTTATACGATTAACTATTACAGACTTTGAAATGCAGTATGATAAGCAACAGAGTTGCCACTATTTTTTTTTCGCGAAGAATATTAGAAATATTTGAGGAAAATAAATAAATAGAAAAATAATAAGTAAAGAAAAATTGAAAACAAAACTTCTAATTATTGCACAGGAACACCCGTTATTTTTATAGTGCCACACATTTGTCAGCGTAATCACTTTTAATTGTGTCAGTGGCTAGACATTTCCGGTTTGTGCAAAGTTCACGCAGTTAAAAATGCACTTATCTACATTTGTATATGCAAATGGGAAGAATTGTAATATAATTATGTTTATTGAACCTATTTAGAGTAGAATTTGAATAGGGATTGACTCAAGAACATGTGCAGGCAAGTGCTTTTTAGAAGAACATAAAATGGTTGGTTTTTCTAGAAATCAAATAGTTAATAAAAACATGTTTAACTTTTATTAGTTATTTATTCAAATTTTTTTTATTTTCATTTTAATTTAATCTTACTTATTTTAATTTTAATTTTAATTTTAATTTTTTTGTTTTCATTTTTTAATATTTATTTCCATGTTGGTGTTTATTCTTACTTTCATTTATTTATTTCTGTTTTTCCTTTTGTTTATTTACTTTTCATTTTGTTTTAAATTTTTTATGTTTATTCTTGTATTCGGTGTCGCTGAAGACATATTTAACCACCGTTATTCAGTTCTCACCATTTTACATATT